AAATGGCCGCGTATCCTGTTCGTACCCCGAGGCGGAGTTTGCAAACCAAAGCAAAATTTTGTGGCCGGAGCTGGTCGTAACCCGAAAAGTTCGTTAACAGAAGCATTCATAACCCAAGGTTCCACTGTACTAATAACCTTTTTTTGCTGTTGAATTTGATACGTGTGCTAGTTGGTTTTGAAATGCATTGGGTTGGAAGTCTTCAGCTCTTTACGGTAACTCCTTGGAAGGAATCAAAGAGAATTCGCCTGCTTGGTCTACAAACTGTTTTTGTGCATTTCTTGAAAACGAATATGCGTGATGACGAGGACGCTGAGCCCCAGGGAGAAAGAAACTTTTTCTAACTCTTGGGGTCTCACCATCTACCAGCAAGAAAAGGTTGTCTGAAAACAATGTTATTTCGTTGGGAGAGAAGAGAATTCGATGGATAAAACAGATGGATTACGCTTCTGGGACTGTATCAGTGCCTTTAAGGAACATCTAACTACAACTCCCATGATCTCCAACTAGTTGGAAAGGGTTGGGCTGCTGTATAATTTAATGCTTCATCACAGATTTGCATGTTATGTGAAAATTTTAAAAAAACAACAATAACCCCAAAACCTGCTAGTTAGCCAAATATTTTTTTCTTTTTTTAAAAAAACACTTTGGTGATTTGAAATGGATTTGGGATTAATTTCTCATTCCCTTTGCCATGAATGGCTAGCCATCAGGAGCTAATTTGTTCTTTTTGAAAAGTTTCTATTATATTAATTTGTTTAAATGTGAAGCTGACTCTTTTTTAAAAAGGCATATTACTATAATTGCTGTCGTGCCAAGTGTGTGCATATAAGCTCTGATGCAGGAAGCCAAATGTAACAGGGAAATAAATATGATGATTAATGCTCCGGCAGGGAGCAAGCATGGGTGTTGCGGCATTTTATTAAAGATAGGAAGGCGGATTTCAGTCGTGGTTTCATGCTGCATTTAGTTCAGATATTCGGATAACCTGGGGCCCTCCATTTCTAGCACAGCAATGACACATATTGCTGGGATTATCAACAAGGCTTGAAGGATCACTGCTCCCCCATCCTGGTTGAATTGCAAGATGGCCTTGCTCCTTACTACTGAGATGAGGGCAAGGGGTAAGCAGCTTGTACATGCTCAAAGGCACCAGTTCTCAGCTTCTACTAGAGCAGTGCTTCTCAACTTTGGAACTTTAAGATGCGTGGACTTCAGCTCCCAGGATTCCCCAGCCAGCATGCTTAAGATGAAGTCCAAGCATCTTAAAATTGCCAAGCTTGAGAAACACTGTACTAGAGACTAATTCTAGATCTGTGGGTTAGTCGCTTTCCTCTTACGGGCTTCCCAGTCAGAAGGGCTTCAGGCAGACCTACTTAGGTTGAAACTGTCCAGTTTGTACACATTTACTCTGGAATAGACCCCAATGAACAATAGATGCATAGGATCGTGCTATATTCCTCCAGGAGGCCAATCAGAATTAGCTCTCTTGGTGTCATGTGCTGTTAGAGTAACCTCGAGGAACAGGAGGAAGAGCCGCAACCAAGACAACAGTCAGATAAAAGAAATTTGAGTCCAAAACGGAAATGTAATTTGAGAAAGAGTCTCAGGCTTGACCCTCCCTAGTCCTCATGAAGATAAAGGGGGGAAGGGGAAGTATTCAGACTTGCAAGGTTCCGTTACTGTAACCATGTAATAAAAGTAGTATTAGCATTCATAACTTTGGCTTTCTAGTATGGTCAACTTTGAAGGGCTAACACTTGGCCCATTTGGAAGGAGAGGTGGAGCTTCAGCAAAGATAGGGCTTCAGCAGAGCCTTTGTAAGGCTGAGCAAAAATACCCCATTGGGGCTTATCCTGTTAGCCCCAACAGCCATGGATGCAATTCTGGGTGGCTTCCAGACCCGCCCTGATACTGTTTCTGCAGTTTCCATCTGGAAGCGCCCATCGTTAACCTGGCAATAGGCCCATTTGGACGCACAATGCAGGTGAGTCATGTTCCACTCGGTCTACAGAGAGAGAGAGAAGCCTTTTTTAGAGGTCACATTGGACCGAGGTGCGTTTGAAATCATCCAAGATCTGTTTGCTGTCTCTGACTCTGGAGCTGAAGTGCCACTTAAGCATTGAGCAGTTGAAGATAAAATTCCTGTTGGGACACGTTTCCTCTAACAATACTCCTAAAAGAACTGAAACCGTTGTTGCTCTTGGGATGTGAGAAGGCATTGATTTGTTGCAAGGAAGACTCTGAGCATAAATTCCAACCCAGATTAGAAGGTGACTCAGTTCAGTAACTTTTTTTCCCCATCTGGCTTAGGTGGTTGACTTGACAGAATGATTACGGAGGGAGGCATTTGAGTTTGTTGCTCTTATTTAAGTATGAAAAAGACACATGTCCTTCCTTCTTTCCTTGGCTGTTCCTGCAACATTCTCAAATTATGAAAGTTAATGATCCCGTGGCCATCTTATTCCTGTGAATAAGATCATCATTCTCATTTAGCATTCAGTTAGGAAGTTTGGAGAGATTATTGCTGTATTATCTCTTTCTCATTAACTTGACAATAATTCTGGCCCTTCAATCTGTGATTTCCTCTCTACTTCAGTCCCTTCGGTCAACCGAGGTTGACTTTGGATGAAACCACTGGTGATACTTCATTTCAAGGGCGTAACCTTCAGCACCAAACAAACCAGTAGAGTTATGCTACCAAACTGCTTTTGCCAGAAAAACGTGATCTCTTTCTGTTGGATGTTAGAGTAGATGAAATCAACATATATTTATTTTTAATCTTTGTTATATTTATTGTAGTTCTCTCCCACCTTTCCTTGAAGTCGCTCAATGCTGCCTACCTGTAGTTCTGCAATGTGGTTTTTTTCCCCCTCACAACAGTCCTATGAAGTAGATTGGGGGGAGAGATTGAGAGAGACCGACTCTCTCTCAAATAATTGTGGGTAATAATTTCAAGGAACCCATATTTGATTAGGGCTTGGTCCCAATTCGATCCTCTAACCAGGATAACACATTGTACATTTATTGTTCTTGAAATTTCCCACTTTCAGAATGGAAGGGCCATTGTTTATGCCATCAATAGTCTATCAGAAGAGTGTAGTGGTTGTACAACTAGTACGATATTAACATATAGACAGTAACCAGGTATAATATTTTCTTTTTGGGCCACAGTATTCCTGTCGTAAGTTGAACCACAGTGCAACCTGTATATGATTCATGGCAATTTCTGTTGACTGTTTTCTCCTGTTCAAGGCACCCTTTGGAATCTGTCATCTTATGAGCCCCTCAAAATGGTGATCATTAACCATGGTCTTCAGACGTTGACCAATGAAGTGATCATCCCTCATTCGGGGTGGGAGAATGAGCCGAACGAAGATTCAAAGCCTCGAGATGCAGAATGGACCATAGTCTTCAAGAACACGTCAGGGTGTCTGAGGTGAGAATGGGCCCATACAGTGATTCCAATGGCCAAGCCAAGGGGTGGGGGAATGAAGTAGGAATTGCATTCAGTTGCACATAATGGTCTATGTTTTAAAAACAGTGGTGGGGAATATCTTCCAAACTTGAACTAGATCGAATTTGGCATGCCTGTCGCGTGTAAAATAGCTGTCTTTGCGTGTGGATTTGGGGTGGGGTTTCATATTTGAAAAAGAGCATTTTGAATTCAAAAGTGTTTTGAATTAAAATATTTTTGAACAACTCTGATACAATTCCATAAGGTCTGCTACACTGGGGTATTTCTTCTCTATCTGCTCAGAAATACGTCTAGATACTGAGATCAGGTTTAAACATTGATGTCTTAAAAATGACTTTCATACACTGATATTATGTACTGGTATTTGGAAGATATAGTGGCTTGGTTTGGAAGTTATATGAATCTGAGATCTGCATGAATGTTGACTCTTTATACAAGACACTCTTTCTCCTTGTTATGTGCTGTGATTGAAGACTGAGTCCTTTATTCCTCATTTAGAGTTAAGAATCAACCAAGATGATTTACAATATGGTTTGTCATATAGTTAAATATGTCATACAGGTAAATACAGTTTTTTGGTTTGGACCTAAAAGGAAATGATTGTAAATTGACCTTTGCAATCTTCCATCTTCAACTACGCATGACTTCAAGAGGCACAAATTAGCGTAATCAATCTGTCCATGTGTCTATCTGTCCATCCATCCGTCTGTCCATCCATCCATCCATCTATTTTATTGCATCCTTTTCTGGACCATTGCATCAACCTGCAGCATGTCTGTGTATGTGCAATGCAGTACCCCAGCAAGAAATAAAGTGGGGGGGGGGGCGAAGATTGATTGACCTCATTTTCAGACATTCTGTTTTACATTTGATCAGTTTTTAGGACTATATAAATAAAGAAAAGAAAATGAAATGAATCACTCAGCATGTATTTTATATGCTTTCATAGCTTGCATACAGGCATCCTATAATAATAAAGATTTGTAAATGCTGACAGAGCAGTGACAAATGTTGATTGATCATCCATGCAAGAAACAAATAGATGGGTATTTTTAACTTCAAGAAGAAGTTTTCCTGGGGAGAAAAATTAAGTGAAAAGCAACAGAAAAAACAAAATAAGGAAAGAAAAAAAAGGGGGAAAGGAATAGAATACATACATATAAATGTATACATCACCGTATAATTCCTAAATCCTCTATATTGCTGTTTATCTTTTTGAAATATTAACATTGTTACCGCTGCTCCATAAACTTGACACGGAGGTGAGGGTCGAAGTGAACATTCAAAAGATGAGTGCGTCTTGCAGTCTTGAGAACTGGCTCCCCTGAAATTTTTAACACCCTGCCAACATGTCAGGTTATTTTTGGCATCCTGATGCTGGAAGGTTCAGCTTCCTAAATAGGCATGTTCCTAGCATAGCAAGCCTTAGAAATGCGCTATAGCAAAACCAGCTTTTGTGCACGGATGAGACCGTGAGGTCCTGAGTGTGCCTTTTGCTTTGGGGCAAATAAATGTTCACTTGGAGAGGTCCGCTGGGACTTGAAAGTGAATGATGTAGCAGTTCTTCCCCCCTTCCCACACAACACCCCAAAGTTTGGCATTGAAAAACTACCAACCAGCTTCTTGAAGAGGTTGGGGTCATGCCTGAATAGGAGAATTGCCGTTCCATGTAGCTTTGAAGATTTCAACTCCCAGAATTCTCAGCAATGGCCATCCGGGTAGGGAATTCTGGGAGCTGAAGTCCACTCATCTGGAAGTTCCCAAGATGGAGAAACACCATTGTGTTATTTGCAAGGGTGGTGTTCCCACAAAGTCTGGTGGGCTCTCTACATCACACTTAGCCAAAATATAGTTCGTTTGGTTTGGGTTTACCAAAATGTCACACACACATATACCATGGTTGGTAGATCATGGTTTGATATTAAGATTCTTCCCCGTGCATTTCATATTTTTCTGCTTCTGTCTTCTTAAGGGCTGTGTGCTGTGGCTTTAGACCAGTGTTTCTCAACCTTGGCAACTTTAAGATAGGTGGACTTCAACTCCCAGAATTCCCCAGCCAGCTGAAGAGAGATCCACATTTATTACTGGAAAAATAAAAATCCATGCTTGTCCATGCTGGCTGGGGAATTCTAGGAGTTGAAGTCCACCTATCTTAAAGTTGCTAAAGTTGAGAAACACTGCTTTAGATAGGGCACACTGGGTCTATAGAGTGTTGTGTCATATGTACACAACCCATGGGGTTTATTCCACAAAACCACGAAGAAACAAATCATGGTTTAAGCATTGGGTCAAATAAGCTTTGCTTCTCTAGACTCCCTACCTGTGCATCCGAATTGTTAGGCTTTAAAATTTCTTTGGACGTTTCCGGCAAAGAATTGCAATGCCCCTAAAGGAAGATTCAGCAGCAAATCTATCCAACAGGCTGTTTGGATCATACGCGTCCCTCATCAATTTAGTGCCGTTATCAACCAGCATCACGACAGCACGGCTAAATCAGAAATTGAAAGTATTAAAACGTACGTCTTCTCCTACGCACAGGAAGAATCCCATTAACATGCTTTTTGATTTGGGTTTTTTTAATGTTCTTGTTGCACGCTGGGTTGAGATACGTTTTCCTACCTGGGAGGAGATATATCCGTTGTTTAAACAAGGACGGATCAATGTATTCTGCAGAACATCCACGCTCAAGGCTCATCTGGGGATAGCTTAAAATCGAACAAGAATCTAAGACTTGGGAGAGTTAAACACTCCCGCATCTCAGGCTTCTTCAGCTTGAGAAGCATTTGCCTGCAGTCTATAAAAAGATGTTTTCTTTCCCTCTTGCGTTTTGAGGCCCTTTCAAATTGTTCAGCTTTTACGACAAGAGCTAATAGTTCAGGCCAAGCTAATAAAAGGGACTGTGTTAAATCTTCTCGAGACCGAACTTCAGTCCTGTTTCCGCTGATTAATACGAGCCCGCCGAATGTCTTGTTCATTTCCATGCGCTGGACTTTCAGCCCAGCAACTTCCCCTGAGAATAACTTTATAAAGTAATGAAAAGTGTTTACCGAGCCCCATGGCTGGAATAATCATTAATCCCCTAAGGAAGACATAGCCTTCTGGGTAGGATCTGGGCATAGTAATTTTTTTTATACAGATGCACCAGACTTCCCATAGCTAAGCAAGCCTTTTTATTTATTTAATTTATTTATTAACTTTATATGCCACCCATCTCCCCCAAAGGGCAACTTCAGAACACTAGAAACATTTGAAACATTAGAACACATTCAAAACATTAGACGTGACCTTTTTGTTTTCTGAATTTATTTCTCTGGTTCCTACAGATGTTTAAGGAGCTCATACGTGGATGGGATGATCCCCTCCATTCCAAGGGTTTTGTGCTTGCCTCCAACAAGACTTTAGGTTCAAACATCCCCTGGAACTCATCCTGACCCATGCTGATTGCTGTTGGTTACATATGATGTAGTAACTCTTGGTTGGATAACTAAACTGTGTTGGCCCTATGCTGGTTTGATCATTAATCGTTGTTATTCTTCCTATGACGGTTTTATGGCACTAGCTGTATGCCGCTTAGAGTCTATGGTTGAAGCAGCATACGCATTTTATAAATTAAATATTTATTCTTTTAAAGAAACAGTCCAGATTAGAGCTGGAAAGGCGTAGCTTGAGTGTTGCCAAAAGGATAAAGCCTTTTTCTTGCTAAACTAAGATACTCCTTTTCTACCAAGCATTCTTGGAGTTGATTTTGGATTTCAAGTATCTGTGTATATGTAAATACATGTGCATGGATACACGCGTTGTTATGCTCTAAGGCAAAGCAGCTTTGGAATACTAGCTGGTGAGACATGATGGAAACCATACATTAGGATGAGAAAGCCTAGTACAGAAATCACGGAGCCAGCTAGACGTCCAGTTCTGGGCATTGCAGTTTAGGAAGAATCAGGCAGACTGTTCTGGATGATTAAGGGGAAAGGAGTTCTTATTCCTTAGAGAAGCCTGAGCAAAGGTGGGCCTCGGTCAGCCTTCCCAGGTAAACAAGACAGGAAATACAACCAGATGGGCTAATTCTACTTTATTGTAAGGCTAAATTAACAGAATCTTGCAGCTCTCAGTTCTCCCGCCGTCTCCTTTACAGTCTGAGAAGTTAGGGAGGTTCCTTTCTGAGCCTCTTTCTCCACCCATTATGCAGCTGTGGGCTATGCCCTCTCTTATCTGACTCTTCCTTAGGCAGCATCTCTTTGCCCCATTTCTCAAGGTCTTTCTCGCATACCATTTCACCCTCCTTAAACCACCTGAAGGAGCATCAACCCAAAGAAGGCATCAGCCCGTTTCCTTGTATTGCAGACTGTGAAAATAATGATCTTAAATTACAGGAAGGCAGATTCTGACAACAGGACCAGTAAGTAAGAAGATAGGTAACTTCCTCTGGATGTTAGTCCAAAAATACTTTAATTTGGATTCTGCATTGAGCTAGAAGTTGGACTCAGCTCAGTAATCCCTTCTAGTTCTCTGATTCGCCAGCTAGAGGTACCGTATTGTTTCCTGTGGGTGGGTATAATCTTGATGGCATCTTGAGTAAAATGAACATAGATGGCTGATCTTCAGGCCCATTTCCCTGTTGTTTGTCCCTGTGGCTGGTGCACGAGGAATAATATTCTCTGCAAGAACTCCAGATTGTTAGATCTGTTGGTGTTGATGCTCTCATGGTGTGATAAATAAATGCTTCTCCCCATTGTGAAGTTCTAAACATGCCACCAACATAGTGGACACCAGCTGAGAATAAATTTTGCAGTCATCTGTTTGACTGACTTTGTCCTTTTTACTGTTTCCGACATAGTATTAGAGCTAAAAATCCAAGGTTTAATGAATAGTACTAAAGATAAAGGGAGGATTGCTGTTTAGAATAAACAAAATGTATGGTTTGGGGCTTTTTGGATACTTTCTTCCTCTTTTGATCACTG